ATATAAATATACATAAATATTTAATGCAGTTGGCCAGCAGACAGACATTACAAACGCCTTACATCTGTGTGGGCGTCTCTGTGTGTGTGTGTGTGCGAGTGTGTGTTGGCCATGTGTTGACGCCCACGTTCCACGGTGAGCCACGTGAGTTGAGTTAGTGTGTGCCAGGATTTAGCTGGTGCGCAACTGTGTCCCGTAATCGGGGTCATATGATAAATGATATTGCCCGGCAATTGCGGTCAAACAGCGAGGCCTGTTTCTCCAACCAACTTGAGGCGGAGCAGAGGCAAAAAATATATATGTATATGTATATAGCGAAAATTAACATAATTTGCCTTTATAATTGCCCGCCATGCGACGAGCAGCTCAATATTAGCTCTGTTTGTATTTGTGCTAGGTGTTTGCTGTTAGCTCGGCTTGCTGCTCGGTAATTTTGCATGCAAATAACTGGAAATTAGTGTAAGTGCTCACTGACATGCCACACCGTGTGGGAATAGACGGCCAGCTGCCGTCTGGCAGTTCGCAGCTGGCAGCTCGCCTCCAAGGTGAGCAGCAGCAGCAGGAGTAGCAGCAGGAGCTGGAGTAGCAACGACAAAGATAAACAGACGATGGCAAAATAAAGTGGCAAGCGCTTAAACTAATGCTGCTTGACTGAGTGTGAGCGACCTCGTGTGTGCCTGTGTATGTGTGTGTGTGTGTGTGTGCGTTAGTGCATATCCTGCATGTTAACTCTGTGTGTGGTTGCTGCATCTGTAGCTGCCGCTGCTCGGCGCTTCATAAAATCCATTAAAATGCAATAAGCGCATAAAACGTTTTTACCACTAGCGCTGGCAACTGTGAGCAGATTTTAAAAGGTGCTGGAATATATATGCACATATGTGATATACATACATATATAATGAATATGCAAACTACTACTATTTGCTATAGATATAACCTGCCACGGTTTATGGCTTCGACAATCAGCAAAGTACTTATTCGATAATATAATATGCATTAACAGTTATTTTAAACTTGATTCTTAAACTGTTTTTTATGTGAAATTGAGCAAGTTGATCTGTCGTATATATTATGGGCTGCAGTTGTTTATGGACATTTTTTTGCGAGAATTATAATGAAAGGAATATTTTTTACACATGCAGCGAAAAATTACAGAGAATTCTTTATAATAAAGTAATAAAAGCAAAATTATAATAATAGCAAAAGAGTAAAATTAACAGGTCTTCAATTTTTAATAGGGAAATAATTCAGACTAAATAAATTATAGAAAATTCTTTATAATAACAAAAGTAATAAAAGAAAATAAATAAAAATAATAATAATAAATAGATTTAAAGTTAATTTTATTTCGTTGATTTATATTATATAATTATAAAACTTTTTTATTATGAATAAGTGAAAAATTTAGGACAAATTTTATCTAGAATTTGAGGTAAAATCAAATAAATAAAGCAATATTTTAACCTTGTCTTCATACAGCAACCACTCTTCTGTCTGACAACAAACTAGAGAGAATATTAATAAAATTCTTTGAGAGACAACACTCTCTAAACTACGAACTAAGAAGATTGATATGTGAAACTCTATACTACACTGCTTGTAGCTCCAAAGAGTAACATCTCTTATTTAAAATTCTTATGTAATAACTTACATCCATTGCCTTGACTTCTCTCCGTGCAATTTCAGCATATGGCTGAAGTGTTTTGGTATGACCCCCATACTCAATTGTTTTGATATTGGGAATTGTAAATTCCATGTTCATGCTTGAACTATTATTATATACTAATAAAGTTACAAAATAATAAACTTTAAACAAAGTGTTGATAAACAATATATGTACATCTAATATCTAAATGTCTAATGGTGTGTTAAGAACTTATACAAAGAATGCAAAAGGGTATTAAACTCCATGGATTAATTAGGCCATTTATATTTATTATTTTACTCTATAAGCAATTTTCGCATATGCACTTTGTATATACTTTCAAGAGTTACCCACAACAGCAGCTCACATTTGCCATAAAAAACTCATTTAAATATTAAGTACAAATTGATTCTATTGTAGCTCCAATAACTAGATTTTGCAGTACACATTTTATTACAGTTAAGCCCGCGTTCTACTTTTTTTACTAATTTTATTTCATTATAAAACTTTTCAAAAACAATTTAGCTTGGCATATAATTATCCCGACCGACAACCACAACAATTTCAGCTGTGCACACGTCTGCAATGAAATTTCGAAATTACGTTAACAGAAAGTAATTAAATTTATTTTACAAAAAAAAAAAAATGAAAAAGAAAAAGTGCAAAGTGGGCGCTTGAGAGACAGTGCGAGTGGGCGCGGCAACGTGGCGTATACGCAACGTCATGACTGAGATGCATGCCCCAGAGCTGAATGACAAACAAATGAGAAGAAAAATGTGTTTATGCCCACGTCATTAGCTTAACGAATGGGCATATGAGTGGGAATTCGCTTATGGCTTCGGGATGTCAGCCAGAGAGGCTCACAAATTGGCCGATTCCCGTGCCGCATTGTTTACAGCGTTGCCGCGCATATTAATTGCCTGTTTAAGTAAATTACAGCCGCACAGCAGCCAAACATTTGCTCCTTCACTCTACCCCCTCTCCACAACCATCCGCTGTCGTTTTTAATTCTTTTTTGTTTTCTTTATTTTGGTACACAATTAATTTGCGGTGCAAATGCCGCATCGACGCTGACAATTGCAATTACATAAATAATTCAAAGGCAGCCGGATGACAGTTGGCTTAAACTGTGAACCGGGAATTGCCGATGCGTTGTAATTGTTGCACAGCAGCTGCACAATAGTTGAATGAAAGTTAAATTACATATGTCCATTCAGAAAGGATTAAAAGGAATTTTATAAAATTAATTTGTAAATGGCTCGATTGAGGATGATCGGAAATGCTTTGAATGGATTTTAGATATATAATTGGGTACGGGAAATCAAAAGTGAACTGTGGATGAATTAAGAAGAGAACTATTAAACAGGAATTTAGATCAAAAAGCAGCTAAATTTTTAAATACTCTGAATAGTCAAGTGATTCCATGATTATATATATATAACTCTGCATGCACTTGATCATACTATAAATCAAATATACTATACATCAAATATAAATTATATACATGGCATATCAACAATATCTGCTCAAAAAATATATTAAAAATATATATTTAAATATTGTATTAGCACTTGCAATTTAATTTTAATTTAAGTTATATTATAGACAAGGAAAAAATAGTTATAAATTTTTTCTATATACAGTGCACCCTCAGCAATATCTGTCCATAAAATATATTTTTAAATATTATCACACACATTTTAATTTTAATTTAAGTAATACCATAGACAAGAGAAAAATCTATAAAGTCTATAAAATATATTTTAAAATATTATTAAATACATTTTGAGTAAGCTACGAAAAGTCATACCATAGATAATCCATCACATGCGATTTCAATTCCCTTTATTGGCTTAAATGAAATGCAAATGGCTTCACTGTCATATGCAGTTATATTGGAAGAGCTGGTCCAGAGCATTGGGTGTCTATGTCACATGACCATGTAAGCGACATTGTAACTGACTGCAGACTCTCCGGCGTCCGTGGCATGCATGGGCATTCGGGCTGATTCTGACACTGCCAGCTAAGTATGCGCAAATTGAATTTCCAGGGGAGGAGCGGAAAAGAAAACGGGTGGGAAATGTGGAGCAGGCAATGTGGCCACATAAACTGCTATTTCCAATTAACCTTAGGCGTGGAATTTAACACTTAAAGTGTTACCACATGCTCGAGGACACACAGACACACAAACACACAAACACACATTTACTATTGCATTTGTGAATCTGAGCAAAAAGGCAAAAAGGGACAAAAGCAAAAAACAAAAATCATTCAAACATGCGCTGATGAAAGCAATTCGAGCTGGCAGATAGATATTCAAGGCGTTTGGGGCGTGGCACACACACACTCGAACAAGTTAGACTTACTCACTTAATTGAATTGAATGTCAAATGATGTTACAGAATGATGCCAAAGCGCAGTCAAGTGCAAGGCGCTGAGCTCAACAATATGCCAAATGAATAAGAGTATTTGTATGCGTGTGTGTGTGTGTGTGTGTGTATTTGTGCTTAGATTATGACCTGGTTACCACGCCATATTAGCGTGTCAAAATGACATCAACTTAAATCAACTTTTGGCCATTGTTTGTGCCATTGTGCCATAGACATGGCATAAAACGATAACGAGAACGACAACGCCAGCAAACCTTAAGCCAAATGTCTGTGGATAAGTGCAGCGGGATGGGTTTACTTTATGATTCGCCTCGACTTTAGCTGAGCAACCTCAAGGCACTCGCAGTCACAGTCAAACACAATTCCCCCAGAGAAAGTTGTGCGTAAAACTTGGTAACTCGACATTGAATTCATTTCAACTTTTTATTGCGACTGCCAGAGCAGGGCGTTTTATGATTTCTCAAATTTGTATATGCTCTAGTAATGATAAGTGATTAGATCTTTACATGAGTCTTAAACTCTACATTTATATTGTAGATCGTCACTTGAAAAGTTTAATTTTTATGTAATGTTTTATTGTCTATGTAGGGATTGTATGGCCAAAGTTAATACATAAAAATCGTGAGACCATATACCATGTCTGACATAGATATTTGAGTGAATGTATGTATATTTTATATATATGTACATATTTATAAAAATTTACATATAAATATATATTAAATTGTATCTGTTTGTTTATTCCAAACGCAGCTTAGCTCTTATATCAGCTTATATTTAACTACATGGTAAATGAAACAAAAATCTTTTTGACACACATTTTATATGCTCTCTGCTAGACGCTGTCTCCCTCTCACACACTGTCCGTTTCGCTCCAGCAGTCGCCTTTGAATACTCCCCCTCTCTATCACACTAACTTGGTCTCTCGTAGTCTTACCCGCTCTATTCTCTTTTGTTCATTTTAGTTATGTGACTTCTTATAGATGGCAAGAACAGAACTGTGGGTGTGTATATGAATTTTGGGGTAAGTATTATTTGCATATGCATATTTTATAAGAGATATGATGTAAAGGAAACAGCCAAGTCAAATGTAGAACTTTAATAATAAAATACAGCTCCGATACTTCTAGCTGTTTGTCAAATTTTAAAGGTTTTTTTTGCTTGATTTATGATAGTGATTTTTATGGGCAACCCTCGCCAACAACTGTTGACAGCCTGGCCAAGAATTTGGCCTTTGTTTTTATTACCTTTCCACACGAGACTGTCAAATAGCGTCTGGCTCCGGGTTTCTCTCCGTTCCCTGGTTGAGCGTAGTCGTGGCAACTTTAACACGTTGACATTTGGCTTATTAAGATACGGTCTGACGGCTTTCCGGGGCAGCTAGAGAGACACGGCCTGGCCTAATGGGAAAATGAGCTATGCCATAAATTTAATATGCCCGTTAGTTTCGATTATCGATAAGCCGTCTGATAACCCTTTTTGCATTTGACTCCTGCATTATCAATTAAAAGTCAATTTATCGCATTTGTCAGGCAAAACTGAACAGTCAATAGCCTTAAAGTCAGCAAGGAACAACTTTTTCGTGTGGCAACAGGCCGAATTTGTTGTGTGGGGCACACGTTTGGGAGCAGAGCTCAAAGAGGCGAGCCGTGCCACGCATAGAAATTGAGTTGGCCCCAATTGAAAGCGTTGTTGCTGCAGCTGTTGTTGCTGCTCTTGTTGTTGTTGTTGTTGTTGTTAGTGTTGTGGCCACAAAATGGTTGGCACACAACAACACTTAAGTTTAAGTGACTACTCGAGACTTTTGGAGAGCGCACACAATGGCGGCGGCAACCACTGAGGCTGCGGCTCGATGGAGACGGTGGCAGTGGCACTGGCGGCTGAGTCGCCAAACTGCGTGACCGGAAAGTGTTTGGCGTTTCCGGTTGACGCAGCCACCAGCCGAATGAGTTGTGGCGTTGCCAGCAACTGGCGGCAACACTGGACGGAAGTTTGCCGCGCAGACACCACCACCACCAACAACAACAACAATAGCAGCAGCAGCAGCAGCAGCAGCAAGCTGCCAAGTGCCACAAATGCTGCACGTGTTTGTGCCACAGGAAATTTGAGTAGCAAAAGCTTAGCGCGACACAATAATACTCTGACCCATCGTAAGAACTCCATGGCAAAAACTTTGTCAATTGACTTTTCAAACTCAAAAGCTGTAAACTTTACTTAAGATATCTGCTTAAAGTCATTTGACAGCATTTAAGATATTCAATTGGTTGTAGTAGGGTAAATTGGGTTATTTGATTTATATATTGCGATTTACTAAAAAGTGTAGCATACTTTCAGGCATATTGTAAATCAAATTATTTTTTCAAAGGAAAATATATATATTATTTATAAATTTACCTTCCCTGTGTTGTTATGGTCCTATTTTTGTCGTACCGGTTCTACTATTAATAAAATATATAAAAAAAAAAAAAAAAAGAATTATTTTTCTTATGATATAATAATTAAGTAGGTTGTGATTTTAAGCCATACATTTGTGTATATATTTATTTAAGTGTTGAATCTGTACAATGCAAGTATAGTACCTTAACAACACAGTTCGATTATTATTATAAAGAACCTAACCTTCTGATTAATTAAGCCATAAAAAAGTTTGTTTTCTAATTGGATATATAAAAAAAATCCTACATGTAGCGTAGCAAAAATCTTCATTTAAAACTCCTTTCATTAAGCACTATATTTCATTGCAATTTAAAAACAAAAATAAATAAAAATTTAGGCCTATATAATATTTATTAATTACATTTTTATGTTTTTTTAATTCCAATAAAATATTGTTATTTATGAAAGGATTTTTAAATGGGATAAAAATCATTTTTGTATTTAAAAAAAAAAATATATATATATATATATATATTTATAAAATATTTTTAATATCATATTATGTTTTTGTGTAGGTTAAATATATACTCTTTAAAAACACTTAATTTATCTTGGGCACACCCTATATTAAAACAAAGCAATGAAATACGCTGCGTGCACAATTCGACACGTTTGTATTTGAAATCGCTTTCTGACCAAGAGCAAACGTGGCCAGTTGCAACAAATGTCACGTTTCGGCCATAAAATGTGTTAAAATGTTAATACAGGACAACAGCCAAGAAGAACAGCAAAAGCAGCGGCAGCAACAAGAACGGCGACCGCAGAAACCCTACAAATGAAAATGAAAATGGAAACTCACAAAAGCCGCAAACGGGTCAACTGCTTGTATTGGTTGTCCTCTTTTCAGTCCTTTACTCTTAAGCTGGTCCGTGACGTAGCCTGCGCAAATTTTAAGCCTGCAAAAATGTGCCTTTATATTGAGCTCATACTTGGGCTGTGAGTGAAGGCTTTGCTGCCATAAGGTAAGCGTGGCGAAGAGCGTGGGCAATGGCCATGCTGCAAGGAAAAAAGCAGAAAAAGAAAGTTAACTTAATTGCTTTTGCATAAAGCAGCCGTCAAAAGGCAGCTGCGCCATTTGCCAGTCCAGCGCGAGCCAAGTCGAAACAAGTGGGTAGGTGAAAAATAATAATAAAAAGAAAAAGAGAGAAGAAAAGAAGTAAACGAAAGGAAAAAGAAAAGGGAAACTCTGGTGGGGCTACTGCTGCTGCCACTTGAATTGGCGCTCAATTGTGCGGAAAAAATATTTCCATTGGCTGATTTGCACGGCTCGCGTAAAAGATGAAATGCAGTCGAAGGCAGCAGAAGCTGGCAACTGAAGTCCTTTTCAAAGTGCCTTCTTATGGCCACCTGAAACTGAGACGCATTAAGCATAAACTGTGCCAGATTTAAGCTGAAACTCGAACAGATTTTCTGCTGTAAAGCACTTGAGCAGATATGGTAGATATTATCTCGCTTGATTATAGCAAAAGGTAAAAACCTCTTAATTGAGTATAATTAGAGATTAGGCATTGCCATCTCAGCAGTGCACAAAAAGGGCTTTGACATACTTATAGCAGCTAATCAGAGACTAATCTGTTTGATGTTCCGGCTTTCGCTGACAGACCCAAACGAGCTGAAACCAAAGCAAAGCAAAGAGCAAAGATCAACATATTTAAGTGCTTTTAAAATGTCTTAGCAAATAAACGCTTACTAACCGACAAATGGGTGTGTGTGCATGTGTGTGTGTGTGCAGGGCCACTTTAACGCTTAGTTTAAAGGATTTGAGAGTCTTAAAAGTGTTGAATTAATTTGTGGTTGGGGTTGACAAACCTTTTTTATTGTGCTCTAGGTTTGGGTAGGATTATGCTAACTAATAGGACATCAATTGGGAGCCCTTAGACACGACAAACTGCACACTTGGGTCAACGTACGATTTGATTACGTTTACCCAACTTAATTTGACAAATTTTGGGCAGGAGCAGGCCAACAAACCGACTCCCAGAGGAGACTTTAATGGCCGACTCAAATTTATTAGTCGGTTCAGTGTACGCATTCACCTAACTTTCCATATAACAATAGCATGCACGTATGTGGCATACAGTACACAGTACACACGCTTTCTTAACGAACGAACGAACGTACCGTCCACTATTTGTTGGTAGGTAAACAATTCTGCCAGCTCGCCAGCCCGCCAAAGTATGCAACAATAATTTACACATGAAAACGCAGCACGCCAGTGAGCAGAGGGAATAATCAGTGAGGGAATACCCTGGAGAGAAGTGTTGAATAATGTTGAAAGGGCAATGATATGTAATAGGGTGACCAATCAAAGGAAAATGTTCTGAGACTTTTAGTTGTTTCGGGTCATGCATTAATTTTATGATTTTCAAGCAATTTCTCTGCACAGCGCTTGCGATCTAAGATAAAATTTCGCTTAGCTCAGTTCTAGTGTCAAATCAATTCATTTTAGTATTTGAGGTAATAGATTTTCATAAGAAATTAATATTTATTTACACTTTACATAGGTCTTAATCATAATTTGTTCTTGCCATTTATCCATTCTATATTAGCTAATCATCAGAATAATAGAGAATACTTTCTTTCTGTTACAACACTTAAAACGAAATAAAGCTGGCGTATAAAAATGATCAAATGGATGTTTTTTTGTATATATTTATTTAAGCGTTGAATCTGTACAATGAAAGTATAGTACCTTAACACACAGTTAGATTATATTATATAGAAAGAGATAAATGGAAGCTAAGCAGTTTTTTATATATAATGGTAAAAAAAAAAAAAGATCACTCAACAAACTTTAATATAAACAATGTTGTATTAAATCAACTTTAAATTCTATACATTCCTGCTTTATAAGCTGTATATACCCTACTCGTATCCATCATATTGGGTATTTAAAGCGCATTTGGCCCACACGAGCCACATAAATAATTTACTTTAACACGTGTGCGCCTGCATGACTATCTGTCCACCTGTCCCTGTCCCTGTCCCTGTCCTTGTCTCTGTCTCTGTCTCTGTGTCTCTGTGCCTCTGTCTCTATCTCTGTTTGTGTATTTGTTGTGGGCACTTTGACTAAATGGCGTGTAATAAAATTTCAATTGCTTTGTCTGGTTGGCTTTTGTTTGGGTCTTTCCTAGAGCTGCAAATAAAATAAAAAATGAAAATAAAACAAAGCAAAAAGAAAATTAAATAGTATTCAAAGCCTTATCACGTGTGCCATTCAATTAGGAAGCAACATTCCGACAACCGGCGCTGAGCAGTTGAGGCAAATGTCCTCATCCGAATGCAAATTATTCATAATTGCCGCTTATTAAATATAATTTGGGAATTCCGGCAGACAAGGACGTCGTTGTCAATAATGCCGAGAGGTGTGTATCGGCGTAACAGGCGAACGTGATAGCGCATTGTCCTTGCACACACACACACACACTCACACTTGTGTTAGCCACGGCCCTGACCTTTGACATTAGACAACAGTGGAACCGAAACAAGAACCGTATTGGCCTCGAGCAGCAAATTTGCTTATAATTCAAAAACATGCCGAAAAACGAAGAAGAACAGTAAGGAGAAGAATACGAGAATACGAGCAGCAGAACAAGCAACAAACACAAATGCATAAAGCACAAGCAGCAAATAAAATATAAGAATAAGCAAATTAAAAAACAAGATGTATGACGAGACGGGCAAGAAAAACACGTTAAGCAAACACGATAACGATACTATATACACAGCTAGATATATGTATGTGTGTGTGTGTGTGCGCAACAAGGACAGCAAGGACAACAAGGACAGCAGGCGACAAGGCGCGCACACACAACAAGGAACACAGAAAATTTATTTCAATTTAAAAATATTCGTCACGCGCAGCACAAAAAGCGAGTTAAAAGCTCGAAACCCCCTTAATGCTCTTACACAGCCCCCCCCAACCTCCACCTAGTGCTCGACTCCCCAAGCAGACGTTGCGGGGGCGTGGCCATTTGTATAATTGCTGCCGTGCCTGGGCTTAAGGAAGAGAGCGAGTCGGGAGACAGCTGGCTGGATCAGACATTTAGTTTAGTTTTATGCCACGACACGCTCCAAGGACGCGCCGCCAAAGAAAAAGGACATTATCGTGACAGGCTTTGGGCGAACAAGTTTATGGCGCTAGCCGCGGCGCTGCCGTAATTGAAAGTATATCCACGATTTATGGCTGTACATCATTGATATGCCATCCAGGCCACACACACACACACACAATCGTAATATACAGCGCAACTCCTGCAGACGAATCCTTGACCATGGCACTGTGAATGCTTGTTGACATCGATTGACATGGCGCACAATACAATGGCGCGTACACTGAAGGACCCCTCAGGTCCGCGACTAGCCACAAACGAGCGCAAAAACGTGCATGTTTTTATATCCGGGAAGGGGATGCGAGGTGTGGGCTTCGGGGTCGAGGCTATGACTGTGTGTGTATGGGGGGAGGGCGGGGAACCACGTGTTGTCCTTCAATCGGCATGAAATGCAACAAACAATCGCTGCCAGCCACTGAATGGCTGCAAATCGAGCCGAGCACGGGGCCAGGTCAGGTGAAACTTGGCTTTTGTGTGGGAACTGTCAACTCGGTTTGTTGTGGCTATCGCAGCCATTTGCATGGCGGCCAGGCCAACCAGCCAACCAGCCAGCTGGACGGGAATTTATTAGAATTTCAAATATACCCTTGAAATGAATCTAATTATTTTGTCACCAAGCGTGTGGGGCTATTCATTAGATAGACTTGATTAGACTTGATTGGACTTGATTGGACATCCTTGAGAATATGCACAATGTATTTTATAGGTAATAGATGTATGTATATAAGGTAGTATAACAGACTTCTTTTATCAGATATATCAGCAGTCAAAGTGACTTTAGAGAATTGACAAATATGTCTCTCTCTCTCTCTCTTTCTCGGCCTCACTCTCCATCTCAATCTTTTATGCAACTATGTCTATATCTTATGCAACTATGTCTATCCTTCTATCTATATATCTGCTTATCAATATCACATTTCGTCATATATCTTTCTATCCATTTTTTTTACTATCCACTATTCCTATATCTGCTTATCTTTCTCTCAATGCTTCTCTCTCTGTGCCTATCTGCCTCTCTTTATATCTTTATATATATACTTTTATTTACTTTAATTGCTTACTTATATATGTCCTTATATATACTTTTCGTATCTCCATCATTCTCCTCCTTCTCCACTTTCCCCCATCTCTGTCTCTCTTTATACACTCTCTCCCTCCAACAATCGCCTTTAGAATCACTTTTATTAAAAATATGAGTTCCCTTATATACATCAAGTCCCCCTCCGAAAATATATTAAAATAACGTATCGTAAGCAAATTAATTTCTAAAAGTTAAACGTTTGCTTTAGTCCTAAATACATATACAAGCAAGGATAAGGGATATCTTCCAGTCATTCAATCTTAACAGAAAATTCCCCTTTGTTTGAAGTTTAAGTTTGTAAAGTTATTTCATATATTTTTGTTGCCTGCAGCAACTTCTTTATAAAGTAGAAAGACTTAAAGTTTTTAAATTTTAATTACTAAAGGCAAACTTTGTTACTCATTTGAAAGTTCTCAAGGTCTGATAACTGGCCTTGGTATCTATCCCCTGTAAATTGACTCCCGTAACCTTTGCACACGCATCGATGCATTCAAGTGGGTTTTCCTATTGCCGATTTCAATTAGCCAGAGCTGCATTCGAACCGAGGGAAAGGGCAGAGTGCCTACGCATTTGGCAAACTAATAATAAGCTGCAAGCACGAGCTCGAGCACTAATCAGACCAATCGAAGGCAAAGCCCTGGCCAAGTCCCCTAAGCCACACGCTGTGGGCACAGCTGGGGCTGATTTATTTTTTTCTGTCACTACAGTAGCGTTCATCCATGCTGCAGACGATGTCCTTCAACTTGACCAATGGCTAACTAGAAGGCTGGCTGCCTGGCTGGTTGCCTGGTTGCCTGGCAAATGGGGCTGGGGATATACATAAGTCTATGGTCGTGCGTTTGCATTTCGTTTGACTCAAATGTCCTTGTCAAGCCCTAATGGCATCGTCGCCATTTTCCATTCTCCGTTCGCCATTGTCCTTGTGCCATGTGTTAATGTGGCACAGTCAAGGCGCACTTCCTGCAACGGCAATAATGACGTCGACGAGCTCCCATCCATTTATGCCCCATGCTAGTTGCTCAAATCGAATAAAACATGTCAAAAGTTTGCTTGTATTCGAGGCGAGTAATTGAAATGTATTTCATCATGGGTGCATGTACGGGTGCGTATTTGTGTGTATCTGTGTGCATTCCACTTGGATGGCATGTGTAGCGCAGCTCCTAGGAGACAACATGATGCTGCCAATGGCTACAGACAAATGACGTTGACTTGTTCTTTTTTTCCCCTTCGTTTGCTTGCTTAACGCTCATCTCATTTTTCTCTTTTTCTCTGGTTTTCCTTTCAGAATTTATGCCTGTGCAGTTTTCCATCGATTTTCATCTTGCGCCAACAACAGACCGGGGATGAAAAACCAAACATATGAAACGGATTTGATATTAACAAAATATGCAGGTAATATATGAGCAACAACAAGCCTTGCTAGACAAAACAAAAACAAGAAACAATCCAAGTTATGTGTTGATATGTGACTGGCTATCAAATTTATTGGCAGACGTAAGGAGTCGTAGAGACATGAGAATCCCTAATAACTCTATGTAGAGTTATATAAAACGAAGAACACTTATGTAGGCTGGGGCATTATATAGTCTAATTTAGTAGTTTATGAATAAAGTAGCTGCAAAAAATGTAAAAAATTACTAGAATAATTTTTTAAAAATTTATTTTTAGTCATATATGTATATAAGTTCATATAACGTTTGCGTACATACACTAATATATATCAGCATATTTATACGTATAAAGTTGCATTTACTTTAAAAACCGCAAATAAACTTTGCACGTAATTTTATACTGAATGGCGCTAAAGTTATTTTAAGACCTTAATGCGCGTTTGCTGCACTGGGGCATAATAATTACACATTTTTTTTCTTTTTAAGAAAAAACAACGTTTGAAGTGACTTGTACATTTTGCTCCCTTTATATATACATATATAATATATATAAAGGACACGAGGCATTATTTCACCATGAACTATTTGCATGTGCCAACAACTCGTGCATGACGATTTAATTAAATTGTTTTCTTATTAATACTAAAGGGAGTACAATGTATAAACATGTATAAATGAAGCTAGACAGTAAGGGTTTTTTTTAAATTTAAATATATGTGACCTTCATAGTCCCTAGAAACTGAAAACAAATAAATAATAAATATTATTATAATTATTATAATAATTATTAAGTAAACAGTATACTTTTGTATATTCTGTTTTCTAAAAAAAAAGATATACTAAAATAATAGACAATTGATTATAGATAATAACTGTCTTTAAAGTTAATTAATAGTAAGTTGTTTGTATATCTGCCTGCGTTCACACCTAGTTAAGTTGACTTTGTCAACACATTTACTCGGATAAATATTAATTTTTTTAAAATGTTTTTCTTACATTTTGTTGTTGTTTTTTATTATTATAACACAGTGAGTTGCTTTGCCCATGTGCATAAATTGCAATAACACACAGCGAAAAAGACTGAACGAAATCCCAAATGAAAAAGTGCCGACAGGTACACATACACAATCTAGTAGGGATGAACGTGTGTGTGTGTGCAACGGGGCTAACACAAATATTTATTGGCGCTGAGCGCAAATGCATTTTGGTTTACTCAACATGTATACGGTCACACTTAAACATGAACAGGGTCAAACAAACACAAAGAATAAAAAATATTCACAGATACAGATACACAGATACATATGCAGATATTAAACTAATCGATTACGCTGAGTGTTAATCGATTTCGAATGACTTATTGCTCTTTTTGCATTTCGTTGTTGCAGAAACAAGAAAAAAGGCGCGAGCTGCGCTTGAAGCGATTCTGGCGCTCGCCAAAAACAACATCATCGGAGGAATCAACGGGCTATGAGAGTCCGACGCGGACGAAGCCAGCCAGCAGCGATGCACAGCGCTTCAATCATCTGCACTACACGAGCCTCTCCCAGGGGTCGGGCACCACCTCCTCCTCGACGACGGCGGCGGCGACGGCCGCTGCCAACGGGGCATCGGGCAGCAGCAGCAACAAGCCATCCTGTTCGCTGCCGCTGCTGCAGGTGTGGCCCAGCCAGGTAGGCACAAGCAACACACACGCTCGCTGTTGTCGCTTCTATCTGTTTGCGTGTGCGCAAGTGTGTGTGTGTGTGTGTGTGCGTGTATATGAACTGTTAAAATGTCAGTTCGAATAACGAAAAATGATTTCTGTTTCACATTTGGGTTTTTTTCCATTTTTTTTTTTAATTTATTTGGTTTTTGTTTTGTTTTTCATTTTCCTATTGAGGTTATGTTGTGCGTTTTGTGTTAATTTGTTTTCAAACTTTTCTCTTTTGCCTAACCCCCTCGGCCCCCCACCCACAACCAATGTGCCACTTGTGCAACAAAAACAATAAACAATATGTTTCTGTGTGTGCGTTGCGTGTTTGGTTTGGTTTTGATTCCTCGTTTTGCTGGTTTGTTTCTGGTTTGGTAGCCGCTTTTGCGACAGGAGGGCTTCGTACAGTTGCGCCGTAACAGTGGCCCCGAGGGCCAGCGGGTATGCTTTCGTTCCTATAATACATCAAGTCTCAATCTCTCTCTCTCTCTCTCTCTCTCACATACACCATCTCTCTCTTTTTCTGTCTCTCTCGCTCTAGTCTTCTGTTTTTTTAATACCAACTATTATTAATACGTATACTCCAATTCTACAATTAAAATCGTAGATTTTTTGCATGTCTTGATTACCATATATAAATATTCAAAAAAAAAAAACAACGAGCTTCTCGCTCGCGGTTTCCCAAAAGAAACACCCAAATATATAGAACAATTTGTGTAAAAACCCAATCTGAAAATAATTATTTACATATATAAACCCATCCATATTACTTGAGGTTTTTTGCGTATTTAAAAAACGTTTGTTAAATAGACTTCGATTTTTGTGGACCATTTTTCTCGAATTCGCCTTTTTTATAAATAAATATATAACTCCATGCACAAAAAATCGGGGATTTTTTAACATTAATATTTTGTATATAGCTTTGATTTTGATATTGAAAAATCGTTTATGTATAAAGTATTTATATTATATTGTATATTAAATATTTATATTTGTATATATTTTTATTTTATTTATTTTTAGCGCATGATTTAACATCTTAGAAATTTCAATAAAATATTTCCATTTTATAAGATTTTTTGTATGCTTTTTATCAAGTAATCTTCACTTCTAAAATATATATAAATTATTTATTTTTGCTTAGTGATTGAATATAAATTTTTATATCTCATTATTTATTTAATTTATTTGATTTTTTGCTTGTCATTGATTATAAAAAATTATTACTCATTATTTATTTAATTTTTTTGATTTATTTGCTTTAAATAAATAATATTAATAATAATTATTTTTTATCATTATTCTTTTTCTATTATTCTTTTTTGCTAAATTTTAGGCGTTTGAAAAATTAATTAATGCATTCGTTTGCCGTAAATTTATGGCAAAACTTATTTCTTATTTTAACTTTATTCTCTTTTTTATTCCAAATCCTTAATTTTGGCCAGTTGTTTTCAATCGAAATTAAAGAGAAAATATCTTGTTAGTTCAATTGACATAACGTAATATTTATTTATTCAGTTCATTTCCTCAACAGCTTTTTAAGTGAAACACAAACAAAGCTATTACCATTTTTCAAATGAGTTTATAATGAATGCGGCTGCAGACATTAAAAGCTGTATTTATTTTAATATTATTGTTTATTATTATTGTTTTGTTCAGTTCAAATTGAAATTTATTTGCAAAAATGTTTAATTAAATTATAAAAGTGAGATATACTCATGTTCAATTATATTATTTTAAGTTTTATAAAATTAAATTATATATATATATATTTCTTTAATTAATTTCAACTGAGTAAAAGTAATTTTGAGAAACTTTTGACATTTTGATTAAACCTGGCACATAAACAGTCTAAACTGAAACGAAGACTCAACCCGTAAATACTAGACACCCTGTACATACTATATACAATATGTGTATATAAATTTATATGAAACACACGAACAACCCACATCAGCAATCGTTGAACACATAAACAAACAAAAAACGAAGGCAGAGAACTGCCACACCCACAGCTGCTCCCCGCACAAATGGCTTAAGAATCCCCGAAAATCCATCCAGTGCACCTCAAGGAGCAAGTTTTGTTTAGTCGCTTGGCTCAACTCTTTTGCCATTTGCAGGACTCACCGCGCGGCGAGGCGGATGGCCAGTCCTTCATCTTTCCCGCCATTGTGGAGACGAGCGTCGGCAGCACCAATGTGGCGTCCACCAGCAGCAGCAGCAACAATGACAACAACGACAGCAACAACTCCATCAGCACCAGGCGCAGCAACAATCACCTGACACTGAGAACGGAGCGCCGCAGCTCCCTCTACTGTGATACCCTGCACGCTGGCGACTCTGGCATCGACTCAGTGCAGGCATCGCCCTCGCCCAATGCATTCATCGCACCACCGGGCGTACACGGTCTGCCCGGCGGCCATTCGGGCGGCAGGTCATGCCATGTGTCGCCCACGAGCACGCCCACCCAGGGCTCGCCGAATCTATCGCTGGGTCGCCGGCACACGCGAAACAGCATCTGTGTGGTGCCCAGCGGCGGTGCGGCCAATTATCGACGTAAATCAAGCGCATTACTGCATCCGGATCATGCTCGATTGTTTGCGCTGCGGATGAAGCATGCGGCGGCACTGGAACGGGCGCAAACATCGCCGGATCAGACGTCGATTGAGGATGCGAATGAGTTCCATGACAATGGACTGGCCACCAATATGCGTTTGTGCTCTGCCTCGTCGTCGACGACGTCGTCGCTGACATCCGTGGCAGCGGTCAGCCTGGGCGGGGGTGTGGCGGCTGCCAGTGGTGGTGGCAGCAGTGGCGGCATTGCCACCGCCAGCAGCGGCGCCTGCTCCTCCTCCGCTTATGCTGTCGGCGCGGCGGGCGCACAGCAGCGAGTCTCCGATCCCTGGCTGCAGCCACAATCCGATCGTGACTCGCGACACGGCCATCAACACGACGGCCGACGGCGTTCATCGACAATGACCGCCCGCTATTCGCTCTTCGATGCACTCGATCTGGAGTACGTGCTGCTCCGGGCGGCGGCGCGCGGCTCTGTGGGTCCCTACTCGCTCAGCGAGTCCATACACAAATTGACCTTCACACAGTCGCTGGCATTCCCAGCGCTGGCGCGCGGTCTGGCCACCAAGCGCCGGAGATCGGCTACGCACACCAGTTCCAGGCCGCTAAATCCGCACGAATCGGGCTTGAATACGTGCGCCAAGGTTGTTACCGCTGTCGTCCTGGTTGCCATCTCCTTTATGGTATTCCTCATAGTGTACAAGTTTGTGCGCACGTGAGGTTTGCTCCTGGCCCCGACGCCAGACTTCTCCGTCACATATCAGACGACCAGCAGGGATGAGGTGGATGCCTCCAGCTCATTCCTGTTGACCACGTCATCGGCGGGACGCAGTCTGGGCAAACATTTGTCGGGGTTCAGGAGCCAATTGGGCCTCAAGCAGGCTGACTTTGAATTTGACTTTGACTCTCAGCAGTAGCAGTCAGACGGAAATTGTAAAATGCAGTAACGAAAAATTTGTGATAAACTTTTCAGATGACAAACAAATTTCCTCACACACAAACACAAACACACACACACACAAACACGGACAAGATCAAGGCTTAAAAAACTATTAACGGTTAATCGCTTGCAAGTGTTTCGATTGCGGTATATAGCATTATCATAGTTAAGCATATTACATTTCAATTTTTTGTATAACAATATAAAGTTCTAAGTGCTTCAGCTGGCGAATGCGCCAACCAAATCGCTAGCAAAACGCGCGCGTTTACCAAAAAACGCTAGGAAAACGCGCGTGTTTTTTCTCGCATTTCTTAATGTAGGAAAACTACTTTTATAGCTAAGAGAATTCATTTCATTATTTAAAGTGCCTAACTAACTAACTGTTGAGCTATCAAATGTATTTTTTTGATTTGAATTACGAATTTAACATTTAGCAAAATCCCATTTTATTAATTGGCAGCAGGTTTAATAAATAATCAAATTTTTTAGTGAACATTTCTAATTAAATTTTAATAGTATTTCCTATTTCTATTTCTATTTTAAATATTTTAGAGATTGTGTTATAGTTGTCAAGGTTTTTTAATGCTATACATATTAATATGGTTGGCAGTTGGAAGGGAAAATCAAATCAAATATTTCGCATAATATTTCATATCATATTATATATAACTTGAAAAATGCTTTGAGAATTTTTATGATATTTAATAATAGATCTTGTATTATTTTTATATTATATTATTATCATTTAAACAAATATTTATTTATTGTAAAATATTTACATATATCACATAAGATTTTGTATTAAATTTTTTTAAATATTAATTACATATCATAAATAATTTATATAATATATTGAACAAATATCTAATTTATTAATTCATCACATAATATTTTTAAATTATTTTTCCAGTATCATTTATGTAGTTAGAAAATATTTGTAAATATTTGTAATTTTCATCTCTATATAATTTTTTTTTAAACATTTTCAATAAATATTTTCGTGAATTTTAGTTATGATATTTATTATAACTATATCAAACCTTTTTATTTTTTTATACATATCAATTAAATTATTGACATTAATTCCTCTGTCATTAACACAAATTTATTTATTATTTTAAAAATCCCTTCCGCTAGAACGCCGATTTTAAGTCCTAAATCAAATTATTTACTCTAAAATTAAAGATTAGGAATACAAATATGGTAATTATATAAAAATTATATTGTATTAAATTAAATTAAACTAGATGTGCATATAAAGGCTATTCAAAATTTGTACTGAGTTGATAGATGGCTAAATATATTTAACTAAACTAACAAGGCATACAAATTTCAATAAATATTGTAGTTATTTATATAGCTATATACATAAATATATATATATATATATATATATACAAGAGATAAATTTATCAACTAAATGTTTGTAAATGTATATTTAAGCGGCTTAATTGTGAAGCACTTGCTGAAATACAAATGGAAACAAAAACTCTCTCTAATCTTAACTTGCTGCCTTACTCTACCCAAATGACAAACCCAACTCGAAATTCATTTATAACTTGCTGCCTTACTTTCCTAACAATTTTACAAAAACCAAAAACAAAAGAAACTTTAACAAAAACTAAATTAAATTAAAGCACACACCTCTTAAAGTCTCAGAGCCTTTTTCCACTTTCCACTTTCTATGAGCTTGGCTTAAATGTTACGCAAATGTTTTTATACAAAAATAAAAATAAAATACCAAAAAAAAAAGGAAAGAAAGAAAAACCAAATGTTAAATTAATTGTTTAAATTGAAACAAAAATTATTCTATACAAACTTTAATGCTGGCATATAATTAAGTTTTTTTTCTCTTTTTTATATATACATACTTATATATTGTATAAATATAAATGCATAAATTATTTGTATAATGAATGAAAATGTAGCGTAATTAAGAAACGGAATGCAAAATGAAAAACTTGTTGCAAACGCTCGCGTTAATTCATGTTTAATTAAGGCCTCGCGTTTGGGCTGCTGGCATAACTAAATATTTATGGCAAGTATATGTATGTAAATGCAAATAAATATTAAATGTCCACGATAGCGAGCTGCCACGGCAGCCGAAGCCAAAGCCCAAGCTACCAAAAACCAAGAAGTAAAAATTATATTAATTTAAAATTAATTAGCCGCAGCAACTGTAACTGAAATAAGTTTGAAACGTGCAACAATAAATATTTTCAAAAAAAAAAAATATAATTAAATTAGTTTTAATTATATCAACTTTCAGTAAACTCAGAAATGAATATATCAAATATTTTCTTTCAGGAAAATTTTGAAAGGTTTGTATTTCAGCAATAAACTAAATAAATATTTACTTTCAGGAAAATTAGGAAAAGTTTTGTAATCCAGTAAGAGTAAGATTACCTTTCAGCAAAACTTTTGATGCTATCCCAAATCGCATTAGCACACATTTGATAGATAATGATGAATGATGATTAATGATGGTTAATGAAATTAATTGGCAGACGAGAACAAAAGGAAATGTAGCCAAGGGAAAACAATAATTGGAGCACGCCAAGAGTATACTGCAGACAATTAAAATCGTTAGTAAATGCCAATTCCCATGTACAGTTATCTATGGCCGTAAATGTTTACTGAAGTGTAAATTATAAATTATACCAATGACATTTCAACGATAATAAATTGTTGAAACGCCAACAACAATTGAAACAATTGAAAATAAACTTTAGAAAAAAAAGTGGACATAGAACTAGGAGAATATCCTGGAATTAAAAATGTATAGAATAAATTACAAATGTATAGATAAAATAGAAACTCGTGCTTCATCATCATGGCTATAAATATTTAACTCAGTTCAATTTTGTTGTTGTAGTCCCAGCTGCCAGCCAAAGGGAAGGCTATATGTCTAGGGTATACCAGCTGAGCATTCTCATTTGCATAACAACTTTGTTTATACATACATACATACATACATATATATGTATATGCATATGTATATATAAAATCGATTTCGATAGAGAATGAAAAGTTTAAATTGCAATTGGCATATTTTGCGGTGCAAGACATAAATGGAAACGATTTAATCCAATGGCAAAGCCATGCACATACATACATATATGCATATGTATGTATATGTATCTAACTGTGCACAATCTGAGCAGACAATCTCTGTTAGAAGTTTTAGCCAAACAATTCTCATCTATTATGCTTATCTGTGTCTCTGCTTGCTGAGCTGCTTAATACGATTTCTCTGATAAATTGCTCGTCCTTGGCAAAGCACATTTCCTGCTCAAATCCTAATCTAAATAATTAAATAAACTCAATTAGATGTGTCAGAAAATTAGACAATCACAGAACTCTCACATATGTCTGAGATGACTAGGACTAGTCCCATTCGAAGGGAAGCTGAGACGGTCCTCCTCTATATGTGTGTGTGTGTGTTGATTTGATTCTCTGCAAATGAAATTAAGTTGAACGACAGTAAGCGGAAACGAATTGCAATTGTTACTATACAAACCAGCTAGTATATACATATATGTACATATACATGTACACCTAACAGACATCCATCAAGGCTAGACAACTAACTGCCAGAGGCAAATATTCAATTTATTTCCGCAGCATGATGCATGAACGGTTTGAATGGCAAACAGCTCAGCATATTCTTAGCATATCAAAAGCATAAAAATAACTGCCGCTTGTGCTTGCTGTCCTCTGCGGTGCCATTTTTGGCTTTTGTGCGAGTCTAGTGCATAATTAAAGGCGAGCAAAAAAAAAAATAAAATAACATACGAACAGAAAGGCAAGCCAAAGGAAATATCCATAGAGAGAAAATGCAGCAAACAGAGGCAACATTTCAATGGCAATACTCTGGCCGGAAACGAGACTTTTGCGGAATATAATAGCAGTGTACGTGTGAACACATATATATATATATATATATATATATATATATATATATATATGCACACACACATACATATATGGTACTGTATTGACTCACACGTACATGCGGATAATGCGAATATCGATGTTTTCCGCAAAAGCTCTGAAGAAATGTATGTTGATGTTGTTCTTGATAACAATTTAACAAAGAAATTGCTGTTTGTTTTTACTAAAATAATAACTAATTTCTTTTAATATAATTAATATGCCGTGCTGTTTGAGAAATTCATTAAAAATATTAAAGCGGATGATTTTTTTTTTTTTATTATATTAAAAAATTTATTAAATTCTTGAGATTCCTGTGAGACTCAGAGGCCATAATCTAACTTGTTGTTGCTGTTAGCCAGGTGAGCTGATTCAACTGATCTCTTTTCTCGTATCTGTTACTGTATTGACTTAAGGAGTTCTGCGACTAAATCTTAAATAACTAATCTGTCTAAATATTTCCAGAACTTTCAGCGGCTATCATCGGCAAATTGTGGTATCGTTTGCATATGTCATAAATTCAATTAATATTTAAACATTTTATATTAAAGATATTTTCAAAAGCGATATATTAATATTATATATTAATTTCAAATATATTTATTTCCTATTGAAATTAAGAAAATGGAAAATTCAGTCAATCCAAAACTAGTTAATGAAAATAAAATAGAAGCAACTCTTAGCTAAGCAAATATGTATATATAAATTAAAACACTTTATATTTGTGTTCCGGCCATGCAAATTTGATTTTGGGAATGCCCCAAACCCGTATGTAAACATCTACATATGTGAGTGTAATATAAATGTCCATTTTATGCGGTCGCTCCGTTTGTGTTAGCCGACGCGGCACTTGCATTAAAAATGCTCAACATTTTTGCCTTTTGATATGGCTCGGGCCGGGCCATATTTTTAGCTCTCAAGGTTGCAAAAGCGACGGATGCGATTGCGGATGTGGATGATTTGAAAAGTGGGTAGGCAAGCAGTTAAGCGGCGGGCAACGACGTAGGTTAAACACACACAAATACAGTCAAGCACACACACACACTCACAGGCATACACATGCAGCGCCTTGAGAGCAAAGCAAATACAGCCACGTCGCAGGTGTTGCTGGAATTTGTTTTTTGTTTTTGTTTTATATATATAAGTATATATATTTTTGTGAAACTTGTTGCCAAACGGACTCTGCACTCGAATCAACCTTGACTCTGAGCATGTGGCCTTGAGAATTGTGAGCCTTGAAAAATTGAAAAATTGTCGAGGCGACCAAGACTGCACGCTGCACATGTATGTGTGTAGACAGAAAAAATATATATATTTCTTTTGGGGGCTTTTTTTTGGCGAGGCCAAAGTGAGGCACGCAGATATGGAAATTCCTGGCCAAAACGAATACAGCCTACGGGCTGTCTTTGAGCATTGGAATTTATTAGCATTTTATAATAGTTGAGAATAGTTGAGATAAAGTCAGAAGATTCAAAATAATATGATGAATAAACTTACAAATAAATGTATAGGTATGACATATATTTTAATATATATAAGAAATCACAGATAATTTACTTATAAATAAATCAAAGACAAAGACTCTTAATAACTAACAATTGCAATGCATTAACAATTTATAATAATAGAAAAAAAATTACTAAATATGGTCGAAAAACTCTATTAATAATAAGATGAGCCAACTTTTCGAATATAAATTAATATTTCAGAATAAAATACAAAATATTTTCAGAATAGAATATTAATATTGGATATATTAGCATTACTTTCTGTAATGTATGTATGTATATCCAAAAAGTTGTCTTCAAATTAATTTAAATATGTACTAAACAAAACTACATTTAGCTGTGTAGCCAACATCTTCGAGTTTTTCACAAACCCTTAACCCTTAGCCCATATGCCATTCAATTAAAATTGATTAAAGATACACAGCAAAAAGGTTAAAAAGAGCCACACAGCACAAAATGTTGCGGGTAAATAACTTTTGGCTAACACAAACTCACACACAGCACTTTTTGCTCTGTCTGCGGGTGCGAGTGCGGATGTGTGTGTGTTTTTGGGCCTTAGAGACACATGCACAAACAAACACATATACACACTGACACACTCGTATTTTTATGCATGCGTTGTCACAACAACAAAACTGCCTCCTCCAGCAATGGAAATTAGTTCGTTTCATACATTTTAACTGCTGAAATATGCATGCTGCGAACCATAAAGCATGCTTTAAAAAAAAATCCTAAAACTCGTGCAACAGTGCAACAAAAACGAGAGCACTTTAGCCAGCTGTGATCGACGAGTGGATACCCTTGAAGAAAAAGAGGAGTCTTTCCTTTGATGGTTGATTCAGGTATGTGCATATCTATACATATATGTAAATAGGTATAAATGTAAGAATTTGAAACTTAACAATTCAGAAAGACGAATTTATCACAGTTAAGCAAAGCTGATTCTTTTAAAGCTTTAAATAAATTGTCAATGTTTTGTAATATAAATTAATATAAATGGTTAGAAATAGTAACATTTTAAGTATAAAAAAAAGAACTTTTACAATATATATTTATTAAATTTATATATTTATTTTTCTTTTTAAATATATCCTTTTTTTGTAATATGTTTTGCCATAAATAATAAGCAAATTGACAAACATTAATTTTAATTAAAAGGTTTGTTTGCGCTCCAGAGATCCCAAAACTTTTCTTGTAATTCAAAGTTCAGTAAAAAAAAGTAAAAAAAGAAAAATAATAATAATGAATATATATTAGTTAAAATCCACTCACCTTTACAGAATTATTAAATAAATTTCAAGGGAATACAATAATATAAATAAATAAAAGTAATAAAATTAAAAGAAAAAACAAACAAAATTAATTCGATCTCTATGGTGGGTTCTATTGTGTATACATGCTTTATATTTTATTATAATTTGTATTCTTATTGTTATTCGACCAATATGTATTAAAATTATTAAGTATTCAATTACTTACCAGATCCCGATAAGAAGAAGCGCACACCCATGGCAAGACTGATCACAAGCAGCTCCCAGACACAACTTCAGCAACTAGGCAGGGAGCTTACCTTTATATAGAATGACACTCCCGCCGAAGGTCGAAGTCAATTCTCTTGAGCTCAAGTCTTAAGCAGAGAAGCAAATGGGAATGGAACTTTGGCTATCGCTAGCCACTCACACAGGCAAACAAATTGCTAGGGAGGTAGACAATTATAGTGAGATCGTTTCCACTCTTGGCTGTCTTCAAGAATACTTATATACACATACATACATATAGAGATTTCATTTTAGGCTGACGACTGTCTCAGCTCTTTTTATCCAAAGGGAGCAGATGTAAATGAGTCAGGATGGAAGTTTTATAAAACGCATAGTCTTTATAATAAATTATAACTAATAAATGATGTATTACTATTGAAATTTACATATTTTGTATATATATATATTATCTATATCATATCACATATGTAAATTTAGATATATTTGTGCTATTTATATACAAATAGTAATACAAATATTAATTGCACATGAAATAGTATAATATAGATTGTATGTACATATAAATAATCTTTGTATTATTTATGTGGAGCAAATATATATACAGAGAAATACAGTTTACAAGGAAATGTATATATTTTGTTTACTGTTTTTTGTTTTCTCTCGTTAACTAATTTGCAATTTGCATATTAAATTATTTTATAGCCCAACTATTTACGTGAATCTCGTGCACGTAATTTTGTTATTGTTTTCGTTTGCTCGTGCCCTGTAGCTAATGTCTGGAAGTGATTTTGTTTCTGTTTTTTAATGAATTTTAAATTTCACTCAAGTTTGCAATGCCAACTCGGCTTGCAGCGTCGTAAGAATAATTTAATAAACAATTTTGATATGTAACTACTTTGCTGGCGGCGGCTTCTGATTCAATGGATGGCAACGACCAGCGTAAGGCGCTGCGGGCAAGGACAATGCTGGCAGAAGAAGACTCCGCCCCCCCTCATATTTGGATATTCGCCAATCCACAGGTTGCCCAGCACTGCGCTTGACAGCTAATTGGAGCCAGCTCTCATTCTTACGACTATTTTATGGCTGGCACACAAAAGGTTCTCTGTCCGCATGGACATTAAGGGCTCCTTGTCGGCACCTGAGTCTTCGTCGTCGTAAGACAATTATGAAATGACCTTTTTATAGCCTATTATTAGCTTTACCCAAGTGGGGTATTGTGATTGCGTTTGTGGCGGAGGCACAGGCATAAAGCGACTGAACTGAGCGAACTGACAACGTTTTTATGCTTGACAATATCACAAGCGCTTTCCTGTTGCGTACGCAAATTTTGCGAGCACATAATATAAATGAAATGCCGTGTAATATGAAAAAGAGCGGAAAAAATCAATAAATTTAAGTATCATAAAATGTGAATATAGTGCGGAGTATATAAAAAGCCAATATTATAAATGAATTAGTTTGTTCTTTTATATAAATAAGCAAGAATGTATTATAGATTAAATCTTTAGCCATTATAATTTATTAGCCATTTATTTATTATCAACAGTCAAATAATATACAAATAGTTCAATTATATTTTTTGCTTATTTTTTATGAATATCCAAACGAAATCCTGTTTAGATATTTTCAAACTGCTATTCGATATCCATATTTGGCGGTCTGTCGCTTGCTCGAAATATCGCACGAGCAGTGGGTATCGATAACTATTGCGACCAAAGAGTCAGCGATTTGCGAGATATTTTAAATCTGCAATTAAATTAGTACATTTAAATAAATATTTATGGATATACTAATTAATATATTATTTTGAATATAATTACACATTTACTAATAATTTTCATTAAAAATGTTATGAAAATCAATGTTCATGTGCAATCACTACGTCTATACCGCTCATCTCTAGCGCGCTTGGTTGCGGTCCGCTCTTGCCGGCTAAATAAAGTGACCAACTGTAAAGTAAAGCATAAAAATGGAAAAAGCAGCTGATGAGGAGACATTTCAAATACAGGCCCTGGAAATACGAGAGCCAGATGAAAACTTTGATCCACAGAAGCCGCCAGAATCTGGCGAGGAATACCTAACACACATGCTCTACGAGCGCAAACGTTGTCCCGCCGTGGTGACAAAGCGTTCCGCGAAAATCAAAAATAATATCACAAGCAACGGATGTGAAATGCTAAGCAGCGTAAGTGTTGGGGTATTCCCATATTAATATAAGTCTTTAACTATTATAACCATTGCAGCCACCTTTGCCGCCTCACAGGTGTCTGCTGCCAACGCCTGAATGGCGCGATGTCCAAGTGAAAAACTTCAATAATGCACGCGAACGCGTTGCTGCACTGCGTCTGGAATTGAAGTCACATAAATACGATCAGAGCGTTGAGCCGCCGCTCACAGCAGACGTAGATAAATGGCAGGAATTCTGTCGAACGCAGCAGCCGCTACTGAGTATCCTGCTGCGGCTCAGTCAAAACGATTTGGAGCTGTTGCTGGAGATGCTTTGCAAATGGCTGCAAGAGCCAAACCAGACGTCGCTTGAAGCCGATGAGCCCAGCACGTCAGCCAAAGCAACGAAATCCATAGATTTACTGCATGACGCTTGGCTAGCGCGCTGGCTATATGCCAACCTGGTCTGCCTGCATCTGCCACTGGAGCCACATGTGTTCAGCACGTTGCGCTGCATAGCACGATCCTGTGTTCTGCTGCGTAATCAGCTGCAACCGCAGGAAGTGGAGCGTGCTGCACCCTATAATCTTATGATTACCTTGATTGTCCTGTGCTTTGCGCAATCGGACTTTAACGTTTACCTTTAAGAAGATTCAGTTCACTTTACAATTTCCAATTTGTTCAAAATATAAGCTAATATATTTATAGTTTCTTAACTGCTCTCGTAGAACCTACTGTACGCTTGACAGATGTGACAACTGTTCTCATGCTCAACTGTGAATGTTGCAGCCAATGAGTTGGACTGCGAGCGAAAGTTTGAGTTCGAGTGGCTGCACTGCGTCGAGTCGGAGATGGTGCTGATGCTCGCGAGAGATTGAGAGCTGTGGCGTGTGGTGATCGAGCAGGAGGACAGCCGTCTTGACTGCTGCTCGTACAAGAGTTGGCTGCTCGTTGAGCGGACGAGGCTGTTGTCGGTGCTGCAATTCGAGCCCTTCGAATGGCAGACAGTTTTCTGTTTGCGTGGCAGCTCCAAGCGGCTGAGGCAACGGCTCTGTGCATGACGATTGGTTATCTCCCGCTCCAGGTTCACTTTGCAACACTTGCGTTGCTTGTCCCGTGTGGTCAACTCCGCTGATATCTCCACTTTGGGTGCCAGAATACCCGGAAAAGCAGAAGTGGCCTTCATCAGCAGCTGGACATTAGCTGAGTGCGCGCAGCTGAGAGGCGGCACAGGTGGCTGCATTAGGTCAGACAATCGGCCCAAATAGTAGGCCAATCGACGTCCATTCTGCCACATAGTGATCTCCAGTTGCTCAGAGTTCAGCATATCCCGCATCTGATCTATAGAGTTAACACCCTTGAAGTAGCCCTCCATGGTGAACTCATCGTGACAGAGCATAGGGAAACGCGGCTCCATGGCGCCAGTACGAAAATAATAGCCCAGTGTCTTGATAGTGGCCTCCAAACTGCCGTGGGAGCACAGCCAGACGCCCGGACAGGTCACCTAAACAAAATCTGGCGATTAATGATAAATCTTGTGAATAAAGTATTACGAACCGCATGGAGATGCAGCACTAGGCGCATGTAGAATCTCTTGTGTGACATTGTAATTTGTGCTTTTAGTAAGTGTTAGAATTTTCACTAGCATTTTGATATCCAATAGTTGGGGTATTGGGGATTCGTATTTGTTTTGACAGTAAGAACGTTGCCAAGGACACCAAGGAAAAATTTCAAATCTCGCGCGCTTAAGTGAGGATAAGTGGTACGACTAATAATCGATTACAATTATTACTAAAAGGCGATTTTTAATATGCATTTCCGTGTGAATGTCAAAAATAAATGAAGAAGTGCAAAGATAAATACGGCTAATTTTAATCAATTATCCCACGTCAGTTTCTTTGATTACATTATTGACGGCTGTTGAAAATGCTGCGCCATTTATTCATAGTTTTATTAATGGTCCTCCTAAGGGACTCAAATTGTGAACAAACGCCTGAGGAGGAGCAGGGCGTGCGCTATGCAAATCGCTGCGAAGCCTGTAAAATTCTTGCCGCCGAATTGGAAGCGCGATTGGGCGAGACCGGCAAATCGCACGACGTCATTGAAATTGGCTACTCCGTGGATGACGTGCGTCCGAAGAAGCGCACCGAATACAGGCGCAGCGAGTTACGTCTGCTCGAATCACTGGAGAATGTGTGCGAGCGTGTGCTGGAGTATAATTTGCACAAGGAGCGCACCGATAGCACACGATTCGCCAAGGGCATGTCGCAGACCTTCCAGACGCTGCACGGATTGGTGGACAAGGGTGTAAAGGTGGATTTGGGCATACCCTATGAGCTGTGGGACAAGCCGCCCGTCGAGGTCACCCAAATGAAGACACAATGCGAAAACATGCTCGAACAATACGAGGATGCCATCAGCGATTGGTATTTCAAGGAGCAGCAGCAGAAGTCTCTGCAGCAGCATCTCTGCGAAGATCATGTGCTAAAGCACGCTGAGGAACGTAAATGCCTCAAGGAACAGCTGACAGAGGAGCAAAAGCCCAAGGGCAAGAAGCGTAAGGCAAAAGGCGACAAGGAAGAGCTGTAGTTGAGCACGTTAGCTAAGTCTTAAAGAGATTGTAGTTTATCCTAAGCCTAGCCATTTAGTGATCAAAGCATTTGTAGTGAAGTTAGAAGACTTACTCTCTGAATTCCGTATGCTTCCGAGCCGACTGAAACCCAAAATGTAACTGACCCACTATCGATTGGCAGCGCAATTCCATTTGCAGTCCTTGACAAATGGGGGTGGCCGGAAATCGACGTGTGTGGGGATGGTATCCAAAATAGTGTCTACACTTTTATACAACTTTCGTTTACACGATGATCTTTTGTAACGTGATAAGCAGCAAATGTAACATGAAGTTTAAGTTATGCTAGAAAATCTCTCAGAATGTTGCTCTACAAATAAGTTTAAAGTTTCTTACATATGTATGTTTAAATGTATCTAAAATTTGGTTATATCAAAAATTAATTGGAACTATGATTCATTTTGATCAGTTTCTCCATTTAGAGCACTTTCTATAGCAGAAATTAGTATCAAATTTATGAGAGTAACTTTCTAAAGAAAACTGTTTTATGGAATGTCTTTAAATTAATATTATTTTAAGGAAAAATCTAATTTCAAGATACTAGAAACTTTTGTTTTGTAAATTTTAACTGACTAAGATTAAGATTAATCTCTCTGACAAATTCCATACTTCTATTGCAAATTTAGGGATATATTTAATATAAATTTTAACTTCAGCATATAAATTCGCCTCAATTCATATTAAATTATTATCAAAGGAAATCAAAAAACTTGTTGCTCAAGTCGAAGGTAAAATTACCATGTACTTTAGCAGCCAGTTAACCAGCACAGTACACATTGTAATTATTCTCTTTGATTTTATTGCGTTTAATTTATAATCACGCTTAAAGGACTTCATATAAATGTAGCATATGTATATTGTAACTGTGTATCGTTTCGTTTCCGTTTTGTGTATAATAAATACGTTACGTATGTTTATAATTATTAATGTAAAAAAATAAGTAATTTGTTAGTTAGTAGTTAGTTGAGTTCATCTTTCGTGCTGCAGTTGTGTGGAATCACTTAGAAGTTTCGTTGCAAGCGTCAGTCATTGAGTAAACACAAAAGAAAACAAACAGAAGGAAAAGAATGCAGTCTAGTCTTTTATCTTCTTGTTCTTCTTCTTCTTTTTCTTCGTATGCTGCGACTTGGTGCTGTCGATCCACATGGAGCAGATCTCTGATTGATTGATTATTTGGATGATAATCTGACTTATGCTTAGAGCTTCATCACATCCCACGGATCGTCCATGTAGTGCAAGATGGCCTTCTCGTGCAGTTTATCGCCAAAGACCTCGCGCAGCAGCCGCAGCACCTGCTCCTCGATGAACGCCACCTGGTCCTGGGGACAGTAGTCATCCCGCGCCGAATGCGCCATTGTGATGGCCACGGGCGGAACGGGCAGACGTTGCAGGAAACGCTTAAAGTGCCCAAAGTAATCCTCCAGCTCCTTGGTGGTGCTTATATGGTGGGGCAGACCATTGTTATCCGTGGTGCTGCCCGAGTCGAAGATGAGCAGCCAATCGATTTCATCGTCCGGATATTTCGCCTGCAGTTGCTCGGCCAAATGGAGAATTTTGGCATAGACCTGGGGCGTAATGACCGACTCGTCTGGCCGCTCGAGACCTTCGAAGCTGCGCTCCTCTTCCAGATGCCAAAAGATGCGCTTCAATGCATCCAGCTGCTTCTGTCGCTTCTCCGCTGTGGCACAAAAGTCGGCAACGGTGGCTGTGCCCGCCCGCTTGGCCGGCTCCACGCTCTCGAAGTGAAAGATCTCCGTCAGCTGTTCATAGCAATTGGCATCTTTATAGATTTCCAGAAACGGATTCGATGTGCTAAAGAAGTCCAAGTCAATGTCCAATATAAAGGCCCCAGCATCCTTCTCGGACAGAAACTCGGCGGGATCCAGCGCCTCGCTGTCGGCATCGTGCACCTGAAGCTCCACAGAGCGCGCCTCCTGCAGCTCATCACTGGTGCAATAGTTGCCCTCTGATATGAAATAGTCCAGCGGACAGTCCACACCAATGCGATCCTCCTTGTGCCCGATCTTGAACTGATGCTTGCCTGTGGGTATCTGCTGGCACCACGAGTTCTTCAGCCAGACAACGCGATTGAAGTGACCTAAGGGGACCAAGAGATGGATATCTCTCTCTTTCTCTCTTTGAATGCTCTCACGAAATGTTTGTCTTACCTGCATATAGGGTGGGCATGATCCAATTCTCGATGCTCAGCTCGTTGAGCATGACGTCCTTGTCATAGCTGGCGCTGGCTGGTATATCGCGATCCACCACCAAATCCGGATGAGAGTCGAAATGTACCAAGACATTACGCTCCAGCGGCAGATGCCGTGAGGCCAGGCATCTGTAGATGAACTCCAGCACATCGTTGTGATAGTCCACAATGAAGACGGGTATGCGATTGAACTCACGCAAGCTGATCTGTGTCCGCTCTACGGCAACCAGTTGAGGCACCTGTTCCTCGGACTCTTTTATTTGCTTCTCCTTTGCCTCTTCTGCATCCGCATCTGTATCATCGTCCTTCTCGATTTTCTGTCGCTTGTGAGGCGGAGGTGTCGCGTCGCCTTCGACTTTGTCTTCCCCCTTGCCGCCTACAACGCTTTCACTTTGTAGCGGCGTCTGCAACTCCGCCGCCGCCGCCGCCGTACTTTCTATTTCCGTCGTATCCGATTCCATCGTTGCAATTTGAATTAAATCTTAAACTCGAACTCTTTTGATGCAGTTGGCGGCGCGTGCGAAATGACGCAGACTATATTTCACCAAAAAAATAGATATATATATCAGCAAGGCAGACGACCTCGACACTCGGCGTTCGACGCCGTTTGTTTTAATGCAAACAATACAAATACAGTCGAAAACGATTTTTTGGGGGGAAAAAGTGGGATTGTGCAAGTGGGAGGCAGAGAGACAAGGCAAAAAGCTAATGAACCCATTAGTGATGGAAAAATATCGAAGTGCTGCCGTGTATCGATAAAATCAATTGATATTGGTGCTGCCACACACACGTTAGGCCAGGGCTGCACGATAATCAACAAGTGACCGGCGAGACAACCATTGGCTTACAAATGGTGCTGAAACTGACTAAAAGCTTTACTGTGTATTGACTATGATTAGCATTTAAATACTTTGAAATGTTTCGCAAATTTAAATCGATATTTTTCAATATAAATATGGACTCACCTGATTGTATTAGCTATGATTAAGTTCGTGTTTTTTAAATGTCACTAATGTGTGTATTTATTTGCATAACGTTAACTGAAATATTCGTAACATAATTTAATTTATTAGGTAGCCATAAAGCTCACAATGCGCAAAAGCTTGCCAGCCCACGCGCAGCATTAGCAGTAGCAGCAGCACCGGCAGCTTTTCATTCATAAGTTTTTGCCGTTTTACTACACACTCTACACACCCACACACACACACGTGCTTATGTACAACTGTTACTGTATTTACATACATATATACATGCATATACAAGCAACATGCCAATAAAAAAGGGAAATGGAAATCGCCCACGTTGGCATTTTTGTTGGCTGATTGGAATGCGTAAAACTCTGCCGTGGCGGTCGTGGCCGTCGACGCTGCCGCCGTTTCTGTTACTCACTCAAACAATATGCCGCTGCGTGTGGGTGGAAATGAATGGCGTGCTGGAAGCAACGCCGGCAGCGGCGTTAGCGTCAACGTCGCCGTCACAGTCAACGCCGCCGCCCCCTCCGCCAGCGTCGCCCCTTGCGTGCCTGACATGCGTGGGCGTGCAATTCCGCAGCGCGTTATCAAAAATAAAGTGTACACACATTTATATACAGACACTTTGCAGGGGTATATACCTACATACATATGTATGTATATAAACGTAGATATGTATGTATGTGTTTGTTGGTGTATGTATACGCATTTTGGCCAGGCCAACGGGCGAGGCTGGCGTTGCCGTTGCGTGGGCCGCGCTGCCTTGCGCTCTGCGGCAAATTACAATATCCAAGTGGCAAGTTTTTTGGGCCGTTGATGACGGCGCACTTTTATATGACGCCCACACGTCCGCACGCTCCACATTTGATTTTTACAAATTACGTGGGTCAACATAATTAACGGCCCTGCCAACCAAATGCGACTGCGAATGTGAATGGCGGTGCCCAATGAAGTGAGCAGCGGAAGTGACAGAAAGCAACAACAACAACAACAGCAACAGCAAACACAGACAGCAACAGCAATTTCCAATTGAAAAATCAACTGGGAAAGTTCACATTTTGGTTTATTGATTCAATTGGCTGCAATTGGCATTGTTATTGTAGTTTGTATTAATTACAAGCACACAGTCAATGGAGCCCAAAGCTCAACTCCATGCAAACACACTCACACTCACACACACACACCACACAGACACACAGAAGACTTAATGATCGTCATCGTCGTCATTGTTGTCATCGTCATCAACTGAATTTCACATTGCGCTCTCAATTCTCGCAATTAATTTGCCTCCAGCTTGACCCCAAAGGTCAAATACAGCCGCATTAACCTTCGTTAGCCCCTTACGGCCCAATTGAGTCAAGCAGGCAAAGCAACATTTTTCCGCTTGACGCTCTAGTTTAAAAATACACGCCCATAAAATGAAAATCAACCAAGCAACCAACACCCAAAATGGGGAAACGAAAACCTTAAAAAATGGCAAAGAAAACAGACAGCGAGGATGGCTTTGGCAATTATTGACTAGGACTATAAAAGAGCAGTTCGAAAGGCCAAATGAGTTTTAAAGTATCGCAAAACGTACACAAATCAAATTCAAGCTAATCATCGATATGTGCAAGGCGATAAATTGCAACTAGTGCATAGGATTGCACACATATATCGATACTTCAAGCGTGACTTACATAGATATGTAACTATCATAGAAAAAGCTCAATTCCAATAAAATATCGGTTTGCGAAATAAACAGACCTGCTTTTATTCAAATTTCAAATCAATTCAAACGGTATTTTCTCTTAAGTGCTG